CATTCATTTATTTAAACCTCAGTGGAGCGTTGTACAGATGGCGTAGGCGAAGCAGCATATGGTGGCGATGGCAAACCAGTATCCTGCGTCAATGGCACCGCTGTCGTTGTTTGTGGTGCGCCATTATTCGCCTGACGCAAAGATATTCCCGTACCGCCAGCCGGTATATTCGAAGGTGGACGATTGAAGAATTGTGTATTGTTGGGCAGCACTGGTACACCGCCAAAGCGATTTTGTAATGCCGCATTCGGTTGATAATTTACGGAACTGTTACGACTATCGGCACCACTAAATGTTGGACTATATTGCCTCTGCAAGTTGACACTATGCTGTGGCATGTTTCTTTCGTCATCTGTCTCAGGTGAGGGTGGCTGATGGTACGCAGCATTTGTCGTATCGTGCGCCTGCCCTTGCTCCTCATGCTCCTGCCCTTGCGCTGGTTCGTCAATAGCAGTGCCATCTTCGTCGTGTTGATCATGATCGGTGCCCGAATTGTCGCGCAACGAACGTCTGCCCATTTGACGCGGCTTGTCACCTGTTTTATTAACGTATTCAATATCGCTAGCTACTTTTGTATCTTTATTTTCACTACCTTCGGACGAGGTCACATCCTCATCATCCAGATCCCATTTCTTAGCTGGAAAGTCAATACGGGGTTTGCCCGGTAGTGGTTCATTCGTACGATATACTTTATCATATGACCTACTTTTCTTGAGTGTACCCGTTGCATCCGTATCGCTATCGTCATCCGGTCCACTCAGCTGACGCAAATTGGAACGCGAAGAGGCGCGTGAACGTGGTATTGTCATCTGCCAAGCAGGATCCTCTTTGAGTTGTTTCTGACGGAAGCGATAAATACCACAAACAATGCACACCATCAACGGCAATATGACGCCCACAATAATGGCAATGGCGATAAAGGCGACGCGGCGTGTGTAGAAGACTTCGCCTGTGTTGTGATGGGAGGTAGAGAATTAGTGGACCAGTTAAAGGAAGTGATGAGTAAAGATCACATATAAGTTGCAATGATATTAAATAAAATTAAGCGTTATAATAATAAGTGAATAAGTAGCAGTACTATTTGACAAAAAAAAAAAACATGTTAAAATGCAAGAACACTTACGCAAACAATACGTGTAACCAAATTCTGGCACATTCCACAGCCCATTAGCCATACACTCTCGACGTTGATCGCCCATTATTACAAAGCCTTCGTCACACTCGAATGCAATCTTAGCGCCTGGCATAAAATCAAAACTCAATTTGCGGCCAAAGCGAGGAGTCTCCAAGACGCCACACGATACAATGCGTCTGAGAAGCATTAAGAAGACGATTAGCGATTTCAATGAAATGAGTATAAAAATAAAATAAATTATATTAAAAAACAAGCCAACAAATTTGATCCGTAACCAGTGACGTGTAATCTACCATACTCCTCTGAAGTTTCGATTCGAATCGAAATAACGGGCCCAGAACCCCCACATGTGATGACGAAAGAACAAAATAATCATTTTTCAAAGATTACGGAAAAGATCAATAGGTATTTTAATGATTTGTCAGCACTATCAAATCATCTTGCTTCTGCTGGCTCTGGTGAGATTCTCATCTCACTCAATGATGGAAATTTCCTTGGGATGCTGGAACTAATTGCTCAGACTTTCCCCGTTTTGTCCGGGTATGTCAAAGAATACGGAAAATAAATAAATAAATATAATAAATAATAATAAAATAAAACGTGAATTATTTATCGCCAACAACTTGCGAGGAAAACCTTCAAGGGGTGGTAAAGTACAGGCAGAAATAATATTCCGGATCAAAAGGACAAAATACTCCTGCTATTCGATTTCTGTTGATATACGAGACTGCTACTTGGCTGCAAGGCTATTCGCCGATATATGAAAAGAGCACGCAGTATATGCCCCATATAGGTACATGGTAGACACAGCAAGAAAACTATCACAGAGACTACTAAAACACTATCTTTCAGGAGCTATTGATAGCCCCGGAAGACAACCGCCCAGATAGTGGGTCTTCAGTCCGAGTAAATCAACCTACAGGATCATTGCGGTTTGCAACTCTGAATCATAAAAAATGCTTTTAAGAGCGCAAAGTGAACTAATAGGATAGAGGCCCTAGATAAACGCTTCAAAATCAGTAAGTTCCATAAACAACGGCATACGTAGAAATCGTACTTCGAGCGGAACGTCGATACCTAAACGCATGTTCACCAATGAAAACTTAATAGGTGGGAAATAAAGAGCGTCACTCGATAAATCACCCCAGCATGGCCGACGGCTACCAGACGAGGGAAGCACTTCCATCATCGGATATACCTCAGCTGTGACGATAACTTCAAGCGCGCCTTAAGCATTTAAACCCGCCCTCTGCCTATAAAAAAGTATATTAAAGACAGCCGTCTTAAAATGGCACTTACTTCGAATTCAAATTCCTTATATTGACCAAACTATCGTAGTAGTTTTTGGTAAAATGCGCCATGTCCGAATTTAATGTCATACCGTAATCATAGCGACACTGATAACTTTCGCCACATAACTCTTCAGCGCGTTCCACATCATACGATCGATTCGACGGCAAGAAATCTTGTGGCTCCTTTGTAAAGTTCGGCACAAACGACGCATTTGAATAGTAGCTTGCTGTGCGGCCATTTTCACGCGAAAAAAGTGCCGTACCTACACCGGGTATGTTTCGATCTGCCAACATCCATTTCAAGCCAAAATTATAGTATATCTGTTGGAAATTGTTCAAGTTGACACTTGCAATGGTGCCGTCGGGTAAAACTAAATCATCTATCGCATTAAACGACCAATTACCAAATAGACCAGCGGTTTTATTCTGTGGAAAAAAGTTTACATTTGTGTGGTAAAAAAATTTCGGTTAGAAAAGAAAACTGCAAGGCTTTACATTTGCTACGCTTAAGCTAAGTTCATAAACTATACTCACTATAAAGGTCCACGGCAAATATACTCGTCCTGTCATGAAACCCTCATTCTCGACCACTTCCACTCCCACACCTGAATCGAACATAACCACAACTTGTGACTGATTAAGCAAGTAAGTGGGCGTATAAACCGTAACACCATCAAAGTGCTGGAATCTCATACTCTCACGATCGAAATAAATACGCCGTCCATCGGCCAGCACGTCCAAAGCATAGCGCCAGCGTGCAAATTTCGGACGCAAAAGCACCTCAATAGTAGTGGTCGTATTACCACGCATCGCCATAGCAGTGAGCTGTGTGGCCATTACCTGACCATATTGGTTCTTGGGCACTTGCTCAAAACGACCCTGTACCTCAAAGCGTTGATCGGCGGCAATGCTACGCGATAACACAAATTCGCCCAACCCATTGAAAGTATATTGTGTGCCATCGAAGGTGATGAAATGTGGATCGCCGAACACTCCGGCCACTCCTGGTGCCTGATAGCCGACACAGTCTTGCGAGGGACGGCGCTCAAAGCGGAAGGTTTCACAGTTCACCGACTGCTCTTGCTGCCAATGGCAACACGAATACCAAGGACGCATATCGTGGAACCAATTTGAGAGTGTTGGTACTTTACCAGCCTCATTCCAAGGCATTTTTCCAAGATTATGATTACGACGTGGCCGTGAGCCCCACACTTGATCCTGTGTCAACATGAGATAGCCATAACGATCGTAACAGCACTGCTGTTCGGCACCCTCGGCGCTACATATAAGAAACATTATTATTTATTGTTTGTGGTTGTTTGGCTATGACTAAGATGAGTATGTACTTAAAAAAACTTTAAATATTTAAATAAAAATAAAGCAACTTACACTGGAGTTCCGCTNTTTTGGCTATGACTAAGATGAGTATGTACTTAAACAACTTTAAATATTTAAATAAAAATAAAGCAACTTACACTGGAGTTCCGCTAACAACACAATGTATGGCATTTTTATGCTGCAAACATGTTGGATTCGAATCCTTGTCGCACTCCTTATCTGGTCGATAACGTCCCTTGTCGTAAACGGCCTGCTCAAGTGTACAAGGGCAGAGCGGCAAATCTCCAGTAAATGTTCTGTAATATACAAAAAAGAAATATTTAGACTTCAGAAAGTTGTTATGTGCGGGACCGGTTCCAAGGAGAGCCGGGCATTTGGCGGATCCAAGTAAGTGCTAACGGAAATAGGCCCTTCCGAAACAAAATGTTTTAAAAAGTTTTTACAAAAATTCTATTTCTTTATGTATTTTTGTTATAAAGTAAAGTAAAGCAAATAAATAAACATTAATTTCTTAGTTGATATTTGTGTAACAAAAATCTTATAAAATAAAATACATGATATTAAATTTGAGTAAGCGTATCCCACGCTAGGGGAATGAATGATTTTTTCAATGTTGTCTCTGTTTTGACAGTGTCAAAAATGAGGAAGAGAACTAGCATAGAATTAAATTCAAAATCAAAAAAAAGGTTAACAAACCGAATTTCAAGTTGATAGCATCAAAAACATCAGCCAGGTCGGGTATATGGCGGATATGTGATATAGTGCCTTGAACCAAACAAACTTTAGTAGGCTAATTCAATACTCTATAATATATATATATATAAACCGAATTTCGGGCTGATATCCTCATATTTAGACTTNCATATAGTGCCTTGAACCAAACAAACTTTAGTAGGCTAATTCAATACTCTATAATATATATATATAAACCGAATTTCGGGCTGATATCCTCATATTTAGACTTTGTGTCAGAAGAATCAATTTTTTGCCCATAGTGCAATGTGCGTTTCGTGGCCGATTTTCGGTTCTGAAGGAGCCGTTTTCGGTTCTTTCGGAATTTATTTTCAGTTCTTCTTACTTATTCTTCGGTTACTGTGAGATCAATTGCCGGTTCTGGAACCGTTTTTCGGATCTTTTGAAATCGAGTTTCGGTACTTCCGGTACCGCATTTCGGTTTTTTTTGAAATTTAGTTTCGATTCTTCCGGAACTCTTTTTCGGTTCTTTTGGAATTGAGTTTCGGCTCTTCCGGAACTTTATTTGGGCTCTTTTGGAATCGAGTTTTAGTTCCGCTAGGACCGTTTTTCGGTTCTTGCAAGGACCGGTTCCCTAAAAGACCCGATTCTATGGTTCCGATTCCACGATTCCGTGTATCACTATCAAAAAGCAATTTTTTACGACTTTGATACGCACGTATTATTTGCAAATAACAGTTTTTAAANTGAAATTTAGTTTCGATTCTCCCGGAACTCTTTTTCGGTTCTTTTGGAATTGAGTTTCGGCTCTTCCGGAACTTTATTTCGGTTCTTTTGGAATCGAGTTTTAGTTCCGCTAGAACCGTTTTTCGGTTCTTGCAAGGACCGGTTCCCTAAAACACACGATTCTATGGTTCCGATTCCACGATTCCGTGTATCACTATCAAAAAGCAACTTTTTACGACTTTGATACGCACGTATTATTTGCAAATAACAGTTTTTAAATGCTAAATGATAAATTTTGCCACATAAACGCAGTCCTAATTTTTTAGCTGTTATCATCTTTGCTCCCGACATGGGCAAAATTGGCGTAAATCCAGACGAATTCCGATGTAGTAAAAATTAAAACAAATTTAATAAGTTGTTCTAGGAACACTGCTCGTTGATATACATCTGTATGTAGTTCCGGACTTGTTCGGGCCCATTCCGGGATAGTTCGGGAATATTTTGGGACTAGTTCAGGACGTTTTTGTAGTAGTTCGCGAATAGTTCCGGACTTTTTCGGGCTTATTTCGAGACTGGTGAGTGAAAAATTCGGGACAATTTTCGGACATGTTCGACACACAGATGTTTACACATCAAATTTCATGAGTACCCATACCTTTTTGATTTGCAAATATGGCACAAGACGTTGTAATTTTTTGGTTGTTCAATTTTTGCCTTTTTATAATCCGGCAACATTGAATAACCATTTTTCACCGTCGTATAAACAAGTGTTTGCAAATTATATTTATTTGAAAATAGGTAGCATATATTTGATTTTAATCACTAAGTCTGTTTCAATTCTACACTTTTACTTATTTTACTTCTGTCTGCTCTTTTACTTTGTGTTATTTCGTCCCCTTTTCACTATTACAATTTTGCCAGTCATACATTTTAATTATTACCTTTGATATCTACAACAATTTTAGCTGCGTATAACAACAAAAATATACAGCAACAACAAATGTAAATAAACCAAAAAACATGAATAGTTGCTCACCTTAAATAACGGTCATTTCGCATCCAATTCTCGCAGAGCGCCTGGGGCCAACGCAGTCCGTGTTTGCGTTCCCATTGTTTATTAAAATACCAGCCAAGTGGAATGGGGCGTGACCAAAGAGTACTGCAAAGAATAACATTTTAAATAGCAGTTAAAGTATGTATGTATGTATACATATGTACTAGTTATATATACATATATGAAGAAATGTAAGGTAGAGCACAAACGTTGAAATAATGCTACTAAATATTATTCCAAACAGTCTGGCAAGACCACTATAAATATGTTGATGGTGGAATAGATAGGCGTATGTACATATACCTTTAGAAAAGGAAAAGAAAATCTCGTAAAGTGGAAGATGAGTGATAAAGTTTGCAGAAGCTAAATTAAATGATTTTTTTACCGTTTTCCAACTTCTACAGCATCTTAGAAATAAAAAAAGGCATCACTTGTTAACGGCTGAGCCGATTTGGTTCATTTTTTATGGGATTAGTTATTACCAGGACAAGACTATATTTATATGAAGAAAATTTGCCCGCCGAACGGCGCGTTAATCGGGTTATTGTTACAGATCATATTTATGGTTGGATTCGTCTCAATTTCTAACTTAATATTGGTAACGCGAAGATACATATTTTTGGGTAGTTTCGCTAAAGTCGAATTATTCGTAAAATTTTTATTTATGGTCCGATTTGGGTCATATTCCAAATATGTATTGACTACAGGAAAATAAATACTTTTGAAACGACACAATGCGCAAACTATGTGCGTTGAAAGCACTGTCCATCTAGCGTTAGTCTTATATGCACGAGTGAAACTCACTTGTGCTCAGAGAGGACAAAGTAAGCTATTTCCTGCTCTAAAGGGCGATCTTGCATCCTTCGCGTGATGGCTGAGAGTTGGATTGTATTGCAGAGGTAAGTATTAAACCAACCGACTTATGAATCTAGGAATCTCAGGCTATGCGACTGTCCTCGGCACTTCGTCAGTAATCACTAAAACCAATATTACTGTCCTGAATTATTTTAATAAGAAGTTTTAGTTTGTGATGCCAACATAACAGGACTAGCACAGCAGATCTTACCATATACCCGACGACATAAACTGACCACTGCAGTGTATATCAAACGGAACTGGGGTCCTCCGAAGAAGCAGCATGGAATGACGCTCAATGTATTATTGGACGGCATTTCATCTTATCTGGCAGCTACTCAGCCTCATAAAGATTAAGACTTACAATAGGCGACGTAAAATTCCTTACCTAATGCGATAGACCACCGGACGATATAGCTCAGAATTATTGAATTTAACTTATATTGGTGTTTGCGCAACTCGATATTTAAGAAAAAGCTAGAGAATTAGTGTGGAAGGCTACGACCACACACATCTTCAAAGAGGATCATACAATTCAATAAGCCAGTGAAGCTGAAAAGCCCTTTCCTCTGGTGAAACTGCCAGTATATTTCGTATAAATAAATTTAAATAAATGCTTTTAAGAAAACACCATTCCTCTTATGGACTCACCAGAACAGCTGTGCTTTTTAGTTTAAAGAGAAAATAAATATTTTCCCTTGCAAGTACCCACTCTATGTGGGTAAGGTTTTGCTTTTCAGCCATTCCAGATTTTTGTGGACAAAAATTTTTGAGCTTTTCAACATTATATCTGACTTGGGAGTGTTTGCTAACTAAAAAGTAAGTACTAATGGTAATGGTATCTAAACGTAAAGATAATGTAAGTGATAATGGTAATTAAAATGGAAATGGTAAAGGTTATGATAATTATATGATAATGGAAATGGTAATGGTAATTGAAATGGTAATGGGTAATATTGATGGTTATCGTAATGGGTATGTTAATGGTAGTGGTAAACATAATGGTAATGATAATTTTAAAGGTAATATTAATGGAAATGTTAATGTTAATGTCAATGTTGATGGTAATTATAATAGTAATGGTGGTAGTAAAGGTAATGGTAATACCGATGGAATGATAATACTAATGGCACTGGTATTTCTAAAGTTTATGGTTAGGTTAATTGTTTTAGCAATGGTAATTGTTCAAGTAATGATAATGACAATGTAAATGACAATGATAATGGAAATGGTTTTACTTAATGTAAGTACATTAGGGTGAATCCTTACAATATAAATTCGGTATAAGTTTCCATGGGAAATATGAAATTTATTATATTTTAAGATTACCGTCAAAATATTTCGGAGAGGTATTAAGACGTTGGTGAGCTGGACCTTTTTTTATTTTTTGTTATTTAATCTTAATATTTTCCCACAATATTTTAGCAGAAGTCTTAAAATATTATCTATACTAATTATATAAAGAGAAGTCCCTTTTTTTTT